AGGCAAAAGAATAGAATAGAGATGGTAGTTAGTCCTCGCCTCACCCATCCCCTAATTCTTGGGACAAGGTGGCCGGGGTTTCAGCCATTTGTAAGGAAAATATTTGTGACTGGGTCCTGAGACGCATGGTGTGCAATGTGCACAGCTTTGGCTGGGGATGCGGTGCCAGGGCCGTCAACATCAGCTCTGATGTCAGCTCCAGACAGGGCCCCTCCACCCAGTTTTACGACCAGATGTACGGGCATCTTAGACGCCATTAAAGAAAAAAAATTTCACTCAGAAAAATGAAATTCAATATGTTTTGGACCTGGGAGCAAGAGTCCACACCTTGAGACACCTAACAGAGGAGAATTTGCATCAGGTCCAAGAACAGCAGTTCCAACTGTTTAACAGGGAGATAAATGGAGATAAAGTGCTTGTATTACTTCCCACATCAAGCTCTAAATAAACTCGTGAAGTGGCAAGGGCCTTTTGTAGGCGAGATGGGGAAGTAGACTATGAGGTCAGGCGAATGGATAGAGGTGATGCACTGCAATTAAACCACTTCAATCTCCTTAAAAAATGGAGAGAGGTGGTTCTTGTGGCTTTGGTGATTGTGGTTCCAGAGAGAGAGGAGCTGTCCCTTGAAACCCTTGTGAGAGGTGGAACTCTCCTGGGATTGGCTGGCTATTATTAGAGGTTTGTATGAGGTTTCTATCTAATCATGTACCTGAAAACATGATTAAAGAATTCATGGTCAATAAACTAAAAATCCCACCTGAAACAGCAACAAATTATCGCATTCTACCAAGTCCACCACCTAGGAGGGAAAAACCCCCAAAGTAAAGGACAAAGACCCATCATCGCAAAAGTTGAATGGTATAAACACATGGAACTTTGATGAGCAAAGGAAGAGAACTTCGAGGAACAGACTATGGAATTATCAGTTTCCATGGGAAATTGTAATCAGCAGGAAGAAACTCCTAACTATAAGAAGAGAAATGTTAAAAGAAGGAAGAACAGCAGTTTTATCAGTGGATAAACTTTTCATAGATGGACAGTTATACCAAGATAAAAATGTGACCCTGTGGTTATACTAGACTCCATACTAGTCTCACTCACACACAAACACACAAACATGCACAATTATCTCAGACTCCAGAGTTTAATCTGTCTAGTTAAATACCTATCGAACTAAGATAAACACTTTAAACACTATTCCTAAACAACACAGAACAAAACACCATAGATTTAAGCTTGACTGCCTTACATTAATTCATCACACTGATGTCTCACTCCTCAGCCAATGTTTGCCAAAAAACCCACACCACCACTTTTTATCCTCTGTTGTTAACTGTTGCTCTTTGTTTGATTGTCGATCCCCATTTTTATATCCCAGATATGCACCACCATGCTCACATACAAAACAACCCAATAAAATAACACCAACAAGTAAGCTAGTGTCTACATAGCAATACTCACATAGATCTATTTGTATGCCATCACACACATATGCCTCAACATACAACAGTAGTACACCACTGATAAACCCAACAAGAGGTCTCCCAAAAACATGACATCAATCAAATTCCTGACTTGGAACATCTGTGATATTGGCTCAAAAAAAAAAAAAAAAGTACTACAGCATCTTACTACACTAAACACAGACATATTCTTATTCCAAGAAACAAATCTCTCAGAACCAGACAGTCACAGAGTACACACTCCACAATTCAGCCACATTTTCTCTGCCCACTACAATACCAAACAAAGAGGTGTAGCAATTTTGATAAGTAGAAAAGTCGCAGTCACACACAACACTACTATCACCGACCCTGAAGGCAGATACACCATAATAAACATCTCTATCAACAGCAGCCCGATAACTACAGCAAATATTTGGACCAAATACAGACAACCCCTCGATCTTCTGTACCTTCTTCACACATCTTGCAAACTTCCTGGACTCCCAAGTCATAATCGGTGGTGACTTTAACACAGCCATCAATCCAGAATTAGATCAAACTCATAATTGGCAGACCACAGAAACAATAAGGCAATACATGTCTGACTTTGGACTTGGCAATTGTTGGCGACTACAACACCCAAACACCAAGGAATACACATACTACTCACCAGCTCACTGTACACACTCTCGCATTGATTTGTTTCTAACCAGTAACTCAATGATACCATATATATCAATCACACAAACACACTATTCCTACGTCATGCTCCTGTATCTCTCTCCTGGAATAGAAATCATCTTCAGAAGACAGTTTTTAGATGGTGCTTTAACACATCACTACTTAAAGATCTGGAATTTGATAGCTTCATCAAAAGAGAATGGACATCCTTCATTGAAATAAATGATTCTCCAGAAAGCCCACCAAAGCTACTATGGGAAACAGGGAAAGCCATTCTCGGAGGAAAAATAATATCCTGTGCATCATATAAGAAATAGAAAAATATTGAAAATGAAAATAAAGTAGAACAAGATATTAGGGAATTAGAGAGACTAACAGCAATCAACCCCACAGAAAGCACAGAAATTGAATTAAGAAACTCAAACTAGAATACAATGACCTCATAAATGAAAAACATTAAATTCCTACTACAAAGACTCAGGCGTGAAAACTTTGAATATAATAATAATAATAATAATGATAATAATAATAATAATAATAATAATAACAATAATAATTTTTTGGGTACTTACTTATTTTTTACTAAAATATCTCACTTTTTTGCTATTCTGTTATGCGCTGTGGTTATTTTTACTACTTCATTTATTACTATATTACTATTGTCTTTTATTCCCACACTGTAGTGATGTATCTGTTTGAGCAACCTCTGGCACAAGAATTTCCCTTGGGATGAATAAAGTTCTATCTTATCTTGTCTTATCTTATCTTATCTTATAAATCTGGAAAATTCCTAGCAAACCTCATTAAACAAAATAAAGAAAAACAACAATCCCAATTATCAAGAACAGGAAAGACCATACAAACTACAGAGGGTATTAATAATGCATTTAGATAATTCTTTCAAGACCTATACTCCTCACTTGATGATCCAGACACAGATGACATCAATAACTTTCTAAATAATATGAAACTACCAAAATTAACTGAAGAACAAGCAAATTCCATAGATAAACTGATAGGACCAGAAAAGATCTATAATATGCCTAATAATAAAGCACCAGGTCCTGACGGTTTCCCGGCTGAATTCTATAAACAGTTTTGGGCTATTTTGGCACCACTATTTCACAGATTAGTATGCGAAATTAAAGAGAATCTGTCATTACTGACAGAAAAGTATACCGCCAGTATCTCATTTCACCTAAAACCCAACAAAGACCCCACATTTCCCTCCAGTTACCGTCCTTTATCACTGATCAACACAGACACAAAAATAATAATGAAGACTCTAGCTACTACAATTGAAATGGTTATTCCTTCAATAATCACCCCAGATCAAACCGGATTCATTAAAAGCAGACAGTCAGCCACCGACATGCTTAGACTCCTAAAGCCACCAACGTGTATAGACAAGGATGCCCACTCTCTCTCCGTCCCATTTTTTTTTAATAGAACCATTAGCTACAGCAATAAGACAAAATGTAAACAGTAATGGGATCCAGACAGCAATCATTAAATGCAAAATCAGTTTATATGCTGACAAAATTTTACTTTTCTTGCAAAAACCTACAGATTCAATACAAGATACTATCCACATAATTGAAAAATATTCCAAACATTCCAATTACTCTATTAACTGGACCAAATCCACTATGCTCCATCTCAACATGAAAGTCCCTGAAACTACAATACAGTCTCTACCCATCCCCATAAGCACTGACTACTTCACTTATCTTGGTGCCAAAATCTCTGCCAAGCTGTCAGACCTGCATAAACTCAATTTTAACCCATTAATGAACACCATAAATAATGATCTCCAATGCTGGATAAACCTTCCCCACTCTCTCATTGGCAGAATAGCATTCAAAAAATGATGATACTACCCAAAATAAATTACTTATTTTCAAAGGTCCCAGCTCAACCTCCCTCTTCCTTGTTCAAATCACTCAATTCCAGTGTCACTAAATTTTATTGGAAAAACAAATCTCCCAGAATCAAATTAACCACCCTACAAAGATCATGGAGGACTTGCCCCAAACTTTGAACAATATTACCTCACTAACCAACTCCAATATATAATCAAATGGATAAAACCCAGCCGGTCAAATGAGATATGACTAGATACTGAACAAGCAACATTCAAAGAAATCAGAATCTCGGATCTACCATTCATCAGCACAGCTATCAAACGCCAACAAAAGGCCAACAATTGCAGCAACTTTAACAGCTTGGTGGAAATTTTATAAAACTATAAATTCACCTCTCCAACTAACCGAACACACTCCCATATGGCACAACCCTGACTTCTCAAACACAGTGAAGATAACAAACATCTCCACATGGGTAGAAAAAGGCATTACACACATTAAACAACAACATAATTTGTTGCTGTTTCAAAAAAACACCTTTACATCATTTCCATATCTGGCCAAGAAGCATGAGAAAAACACTAGAAAATAAACATTTCTTTGAATTTCTACAATTCAGATCCATTATATGCTCTAAAATCAAAGTAAAAGACAACACATTAGACCTCCGCCCATTAGTATTAGAACTTCTGAATATCTCACCAACATACTAAAATCCTATCCAAAATATCCATCCATCCATCCATTTTCAATACCGCTTATCCTACACAGGGTTGCGGGGAACCTGGAGCACATCCCAGGGGACCCAAGACACAAGGCTGGGGACACCCTGGAGGGGGTGCCAATCCATCACAGGGCACAATCGCAAAAACATTCACACTCACACACTACGGACAATTTAGAGATCCCAATCAGCCTGCAATGCATGTCTTTGGACTGGGGGAGGAAACCGGAGTACCCAGAGGAAACCCCCGGAGCACAGGGAGAACATGCAAGCTCTGCGCACACAGAGCATAGGCGGGAATTGAGCCCCAACCCTAGAGGTGTGAGGCAAACATACTAACCACTAAACCACCATGCCTCCTCATCCAAAATATATAAAATAATATCCAAATCCAATTCTACAATTACCATACCATGTAAAAAAATGGAAGATGACCTAGCAATCACACCCAGCAAAGATTTTTGGCCACAAATCTTACAGAACATGTCCTCCATAGCTAATAACACTAGCCTGCAGCTACCTGATACACAAATTATACAAAATAATCCACAGAACTCACTACACAGGTAAAGTCTCAATGGTTCCCCCAAAGGGGGGTGGTGGTGGTGGGCAAAAAAAAGTAATTAAACTTTCAATTTAAAATTTAATGAGCATTAGTTTAATTAGTTTAATTAGCAAAAATAAATAAAATAACTAAAATAGTCAACAGGCCTTTGAATGCACTAAATAGCCAAGAATGAGAAAACTTTCCGCTAATGCAAAATATTACTTTATGACACGGCTGCTAATAACATTTTATTTATCTGTTTTAACTGGCTTGAAATGTTTTTAAAGAAGCACCCAAATGTTAACTTGCAATGCATATTCTCAAATGTATGACTTTTCTGCTTATTTGCAGCTGGACCATATGTCGCTGTGACCTCAACATCTTCCTGTCTTGATTAGCCTAGTCAGAGTCGCCTGCTTTTAGGAAGAAACTTTTAAGGGTCGACCGTTTTGCCTTATGGCACAACCCTGACTTCTCAAACACTGTGAAGATAACAAACATCTCCACATGGGTAGAAAAGGGGATTACGCACCTTAAACAACAACATAATTTGTTGCTGTTTCAAAAAAACACCTTTACATCATTTCCATATCTGGCCAAGAAGCATAGACTAGAAAATAAACATTTCTTTGAATTTCTACAACTCAGATCCATTATATGTTCTAAAATCAACCTAAAAGACAACACATTAGATCTCCCTCCAGGGAGTGTATATGACTGTGTGACAGGAATTTTTAATTCTGTAACCGAATAACGTATCTGGATTTTCTATGCATGTCAGCAGAAAGCTCCTCCTGTAAGAGCATCCAGACAGTCTGTCCCTCAAACAAACCCGTTCACAGTTCATCCCAAAGGTGTTCAGTGTGGTTGAGGCCAGGGCTCTGTGCAGGTGATTCAAATTCTTCCACTCCAACCTTGGCCAACCATGTTTTCATGGAGCTTGCTTTGTGCACAGAGGCCTTGTCATGCTGGAAAAGGTTTGGGCTAGGCCCCTTAGTCCCAGTGAAGAGAAACTGTAATGGCAACAGTTTGGGCAAGGCCCACATGTAGGTGTGATGGTCAGGTGTCCACAAATCTTTGATCAGAGAGCTTACATTTAATGTAATCCCGAGGATGCACACATACCTTTATACATTTCAGAAACACATTCATTTCAGTGTTTTTTTTTAGATGAAGTTTGACTTATATGGTAGTTACTCATTATTGCCACCTACTGCAACAAAACTCTTTTGAGCAGCTTTTTTCTGATGAATGATTTACTTGAAATACTGTTACTGACTGTGACGGCAGTGCTCCTCACATGACTACCGCCATGGTGCTGAACGGACAATGGCAGTTATCTACCCTCCAGCGGAAGCCTGGAGGGTATAAAAGGGACCAGCAGCCGTTCTCAAGGAGAGACAGTTATGGTATAGCACGGCACTAATCTCTCTCTCTCTCCCTGATAGAAGCCGACATCAGCGAGGACGAAGAGCTCAGACCTTTGCACGCCAACCCTCACCCTGCCTGAGAGCGACCGCCGTGCCCCCTGCTTCCTGCTGCCACACTGCTGCTGCCAGCTTGCCACGCCCTGCTCAGGGACGACCGCGATCTCACCCCTCTTCACCAAACGCCATCACCTTCAGACCAGCCTCTCCCCTTCACTGCCACTTAAAATAAAGAGCACGTTTCCCTCACCTCTGCCTCCTGGTGTCTGTGTTCAGCCCTTCTATGGTCTCAGGTTGCTACAGTGGTGGAGAATGCAGGCATGAACACAGGCCCTGATACCAAGATGGACACAGTGTGGCAGCAATTCCTACAGACCAGCCTACAGCATCAGGCAGTGACCCACGAGCTGGCCCAAAGCCTTCAGGTTGCCACCCAGGAGTTCCTGGAGCTAAGGAAAAGGCCGCCCACCGCTGCAGTCCCCCTCCCCAACCCCTGCTGTGAGGCCTAGCACCTCCTCAACAAACTTACCAGTGATGACGACGTGGAGACTTATCTTCTCACTTCCGAGAGAATTGCCCAGCGTGAAGGGTGGCCCAAGGAGGACTGGACCCATGTTCTTGCTCCTTTCCTCTCAGGGGAGGCCCAGTTGGCCTATCACACACTTCCCCCCAACGAAGCTGCCCAACACGAGATCTTGGGAGATCCTCCTACGCTGCAGCCTTTCCCCAACCAGTGTGGTGGCAGAGTTCCACCGCTGGAGCTATGACCCTAAAGCCACCCCTCGTGGCCAAATGGACTTCCTGTTACACACCACCAAGAGGTGGCTACAGCCCGAGATCCTCTCCTCACTCCATTGAGAGGGTGGCCATGGACCGGTTCCTGAGGGATCTGCCGCCCGAGGAATGGAAAGCCGTAGGCATGCGGGGTGCCCGCAACCCCCGAGAGATGCTAGAGGTACTGGAGCGTGCAGTGGCCACCCTGGAAATTGGCAGGGGCAAGAAATGAGAGTTTTGCCCTGCATCCACCGCCGAGACACCTTGACCAGCACTCCCATGGGGAGGGGAGACCCACCAACAACCTCTCCGCCTATAGAACTCCCAGGGATGAACCCATGCCTACTGAGCCAGACCCCGCCACCAACCGACGTGCCGACAAGCCCTGAATCGCAGGCTGCGCCTATAGAGACCACTCCCAGCTTCCCTACCATCCCCGTGGAGGTCAACGGTAAGCCAGTCTCAGCCCTCCTGGATTCAGGAAGCACCATCACCCTGGCCCAATCCTCCCTGCTTTCACCCCAAAGCACCACCCCCCCCCAAGCAGATGGCTCTTTGATGGTCTCCTGTGTGCACGGGGATGTCTGAGAAGTGGCAGTGGGCAAAGTTAAAGAGTTAAACACCAGGCCGAGGAGTGGACCTCATACCAGAGCTTCCTGTACCCCTGCTCTTGGGTCGAGACTGGCCAGATTTCTCCACTGCCAAGGTGCCCAGACCATCCCAGAGGCAGGGATCCAGGACAAAGCTGCCGTGGGTCCGGCAGGCCTGCCTGGCCCTGGGTGAAGGCGACACTGGGGCGACCTTAGCAGGTGAGACCCCCACCCCTACTAAACCTGTCTCCTCTGTGTTTTGCAGGTCGCCCGGGAGGGGAATTTCGGGCAGGGGCAGAAGAGGACAACAGACTGAAGCAATGTTGGGGCCAGGCGTGAATCATCGAGGGAGTTCATCAGAATCCAGAGCAAAAGCTCTCAGTGGCATTTTTCCTGGTATGCGGAGGCCTCCTATACTTCCGAATGGAATGCATTTCTCTGGCCCGGGAAGGACGCGGAGGTCCACGCGTTCTGCCAGCAATGACCCCAGTGCCAGAGGACCACACCCTATAAGCTTGCACCCGCTCCCCTCATTCCTCTCCCTATCACCGGTGTCCCCTTCGAAAGGATAGGCATGGATCTCATAAGGCCGCTGCCTGGGGCCAGGAATACATTCTGGTCATCATGGACTACACCACCCGATACCCCGAGGCAGTTCCGCTTTGAAAGGCCACCTCCCGGAACATCACCCGTGAGCTCCTCCTCCTCCTCTTTATCTGGGTTGGGGTCCCCAAGGACATCCTCACCAACCGAGGTACACCCTTTATGTCTAAACTAATGGCAGATCTGTGTCGTCTGTTGCAGGTGAAGCACCTGAGGACGTCCATCTACCACCCCTAGACATATGGATTGATAGAGTGGTTTAAGACCAGGTCCTCCTCCTTCTTCCCGAAGCCTCCTTCAAGTTCCTGGCCCACCGGCAACATCCATACACGGTCCTCGGACGGGTGAGTCCTGTCAACTATTGCCTGCAGCAGCCAGGTAAGCGCACAGACACCTAACTGTATCAATTATTAATCTGTTAAAGAGATGGACTGAACCAGCCCCCGCGGTGTCTGCATTTGCTAGTCTCCCCACAGAGCCATCGGAGCATGCTTTGGTCCACCGAGGAGAGGAGCTCACCCCAGCACAAAGCCAGGAGCTGTCAGAGCTGGTGGACCAGTTTGCTGACGTCTTCTCCTCCACCCCGGGCCTAACGCATCTGGTCCACTACGGCATCAAAACCCCACCGGGAGTTGTGGTCAGACAGCGGCCCTACCATCCCAGAGGCCTGCCGTAAGGCGATCGAGGAGGAAGTCAGCCAGAAGCTCCGTGATGGGATCATCGAAGAGTCCACCAGCCCCTGGTCCAGCCCCATAGTTGTGGTGCCGAAGCCCGAATGAAGCATCTGACTGTGCAATGACTTCTGGCGGCTCAACCAGGTATCCGAATTCGACAGCTGCCCCCCCACCGATGACCTGGTGGAGTGGCTGGGGAGGGCCCGGTTCATCTCCAGCCTGGACTTTACAAAGGGGTACTGGCATTTGGCCCTGAGCCCAGAGGCCAAACCGAAGACGGTGTTCTCCACCTCCGGTGACCACTGGCAGTATGTGACCTTCGGCCTGCATGGGGATCCTGCAACATTCCAACAACTGATGGACATCGTCCTGCAGCCCCACCACCAATATGTGGTAATCTATTCCTCCACCTGGTCCGACCACCTCCACCATCTCAGGGATGTCCTGGGTGAGCTCCGGAAGTCCAGGCTAACCGCCAACCCCAAGAAATGTCACCTGGGCCTCACAGAGGCACAGTACCTGGGATACAGCATCAGCAGGGGACTCCTAATGCCGCAGGAGAAAAAGGTGGAAGCTATCAGGGACTACCCACGACCGACCACAAAAAACAGGTACGTGCCTTCTTGGAATGGCTTCCTGGTATTATCGCAGATTTGTGCCCAATTTCTCCTCACTAGGAAAGGCCAGCTGGACCGGATGCGCTGGAGTCAGGAGACGGAAGAGGCCTTCGAGACACTGAAAC